ACAAATAAAAAGAGATTTGCTAGAGTGGCTCTCAAAGCTTTATTTACATGCACCATCTCTTGAGAAGCTTGCAAACATCACATTTTTGTTCTAGTAGGAGCAAGAGGAGAGGGCGATGACAGTGCGCAAAAATGATTTATGCTTAAAAAAAATGTCAAATTGTCATCTTTCCAAAAAAAAAGTGCTCACTTTTTAAAAAAGCTTAAAAACAGAAGGCGTCACATAAACGGTGGACCCTGAAATGGGTGGCGCTTGAAAAAGAAAAAAAAAAGCTACGAACACAATTCATGAAATAATTAAATGGATCCTGGTGGTCTTACAAATACTTAAGATTTTTTTTTTTTTTTTTTATGGATCCTGGTGGTCTTACAAATACTTTTTAAGATTTTTTTTTCCCCTTAGCTATGCTTCCAACTATCTACAACACTCGATTTCTAGCTATGTATACGCGCAAACGTTTGGCAATATTTTCAAATACTGTGAGTGATGAAATGGCAAGAATGGCTTGGAAGATAATGGCTCCCCCCCCCACGGGGGGGGCAGCACCTGCTATAGTGCTGATAACAAGGGTGGGAAAGGGTTGCCCCCCCATGCTATCTTCTCTTTTACAGCACCAAGAAGTCACCAAATGACAGCGGAATGATTCCGCACCGTCTTCTGTAGCCGTTTATCCCATTATTTGGCTATTTACGCGACGCGTGACAAAATAAGGTCAAGCAGCATCGCAGAAGTAAACATTGTCAACGATTCATTTTGTTTAGTTTGGTCTGGAATAAAAATGCGATAGTACAAGAAAAATGGTGTAGATCAACAAGTCAGTCGTGAAAATGCCGTCGTACTGAGGAATGGTGCGACCTCACGGCACAAAGTAAATGACGAAAAATTTGTGAAAAATGGTGGAGATCAACAAGTCAGTCGTGAAAATGCCGTCATACGAAGGGAGGAATGGTGTGACCTCACGGCACAAAGTAAATGACGAAAAATTTGTAAATTAAGGTGGGGAAAAATTCTGAAATTAACGTGGGGGAAAAAAATCTTAATTTTACAAGAATAAATATGAAAACCGTGAAAGTTGTACATTTACGAATATTAAGGGGCAACATTAGAAAATAAAGAGGTGTAAACTCACGTGAAAAAAATTGCCATATTACAAGAACAAACTCATACTATTGCGGGAATAAAAACGTAAAATAACACAGGATAAGTTTACATAGTAGAACCGAGTTGCGTTAAAAAAAACACAATTTGGAGAAAAAAATATTACAAAAGTAGTCATGTGGGGAAGTTGCCATATCACAAGGAAAATAGTAGTCAATTCATGTGATGCAATTTGACGAGAGTAGATTTGTTCAAGATGATAGTCACCATTTTCTGGGATTAAAATTGTGGATGTCTGTGAGAAAAGTCACCATTTTAGTGGGATAAAGGTGCGATCTAATGAGGAAGACACGCAAATAAATGTGGAAGGAATCACAATGCTAGTGGAATAAAAAGTGCAATATAACAGGAAAAAAAATACGTCATCAACCAAAATAGTCGTAATCTTATGGCAGTAAAGGTGCATGGAAAAAGTATTAACTTAAACAACCAAGTGAATCTTTCGTGAACTATTTCTGAAAATGCACCCGTGTGCGAGACTTGTGCATTTTTGCCCCACTGTGATGTATCAGTGGGGCGAATGAACATAGTTACCACCCCACAGAGTTCCTCCACCAGTGACATAATCAGCTAGGCTAAATTCCAGCGCAAAAACACTGAGCCCAAAACGCAGTGTTAGCACAGATTAGCATTAGCTAACAGTTGTTAGCAGCATTCGTTTCTCGCAATGTATTGTTCTGTTGATGTGACGGCATGGGGATATTTGTGTTTGGCCGCGTCATGCGCCAAACCGCTACATGAATTGACAAATGTAATTTGGTGGCTTGGTGGTGAAATGCTGCGTCCACCAGTGAGCACTTCTTCCGATATTCCGCTAGAGTGGACGATGGTTAGACTGTAGCGTCGACGTACCTTCTAAAACTAAACTTCACAATGATTTCACGAGTAATCTCAATCCCCTCACCCATCCACCGCCCAAAAAATAAATAAATAAAGCACATAATGTGGCCACTTATGTCACGGAATAGCTGTACACGTTCATATTTGGTGTGCATCAGATTTTCCTTTTAGTCCCCCAAAGACAAAAAAAAAAAAAGTGGACGATGGTTAGACTGTAGCGTCGACGTACCTTCTAAAACTAAACTTCACAATGATTTCACGAGTAATCTCAATCCCCTCACCCATCCACCGCCCAAAAAATAAATAAATAAAGCACATAATGTGGCCACTTATGTCACGGAATAGCTGTACACGTTCATATTTGGTGTGCATCAGATTTTCCTTTTAGTCCCCCAAAGACAAAAAAAAAAAAAAAAGTCAAGTATTCTCCTTTAATTTTCTTCTCCATGTAAACGGGCTCTTGGCCCTTGTTTGGCAAAAAATGTTGATGTGAGAGAACAAAATCATCTTCCCTGAGATGAACGCAACTTTTGTTCCTGTTTCAGTATGAGAATCGCTCAGGTTCATAGATTTCCCCCGCCCCCCCTCTTTTTAAGAATCCAGTACACCAAACATACGAGGTGTGACAATAAAGAAACAATGTCACTCACGACTCTCTAGTGTTCTGCTATCGGATCGTGTTAGCTTAATTCCTGTTTGGTTAAAGCGTTCCCGGCAAATTGGCACATCAGAGGCGCTAGTTGTAGAGCCAGCGAATTCACGGGTAGACTTCAACCCCCCCCCACCCCCATACTTGCAGGACAGCGAGCTGAATAAAAGCGACAAAACAGCTAGCTTAGAACAC